GTGGGTGAGCTAAAATAATTTTGGCATCATGCTGTAAGAATGACTCCTACAGAGTCTGTAAATGGAATAGAAGGACTGATGAAGATGCCTTCCATGGTACGGAAGAATGAAAGATTTTTTCAGATGCTTTCTGGTCATTTTGATAAGAGGAAGCTATATTTCCTTATTATTGCTACTACTTGAACTTGCAACAAGAAACTCTTTTCTTTCTTGAGATACTTTATTTATAAATCTGCAGACTTCTACACCAGAACATCCCTATTCTGATAGTTACCCTTCTGGAACAATGAAAGGAGAGTCTCTAAGGAAGAAGAATGGATAATTAGGAACCCAAGAGTATTTTGTAAAGAAATCCAGACCATTCACTGTTCTCATGCTCTTTTCCTGCTGTGCAATCATTGCTATAGCTGGTCAGTTTGTGTATTTGCCCACTCCTGTCTCACCATCTTGGGATACAAGAGTTAAGAGTCATGTGATTATTTGTAATAGACATTTTCTCTCAACAGAAATAGGAAAAAAGTCATCAACAGTATCACAAAATTCCAGCATTCTGGGTCTTTGCCACTGTGACAATTCTTCAACACCTATCAAGTGACTGGCTGACTAGGAATTTTCTGGAATGTTGTATAAAGCAACTGTGTCTGTCTTTGAGGCCAGGGATTTGTGGACATGTTAGAATTTTACCATAAGCATATTTGACTTTCAGAAGCATATATGAAGGAAATGCTATCCATACACCCCCCCGCATCTACAGTCAACCTTTGATCCCATTATGCTCTCATAAGGCTTCCTGGACTTTGGCCTGATCCCTGGCTGGGTGAATACCTTCGTCAAGTTCAGTTTTACTGTAATACTTTTGGTTTTTATTCAAAGCCATTATGAAAAATAACCATATAAAGTTTCTTACAGAATTATTAATAATCAATTGTTTTCCATTCTGAGGTTTGATCTGAAACACCAGTGGAAAAAAATGCTCTCTGAATTCCGTGCTGGGAAAAGTTTTGCTTCCCTTGGCGAACTCTTAGCCCCTTTTGAAAATCGCAATTACCTAACTGGTTGGGGCACTTGGCTACCAGGAAGCTCGGAGGTTTAATTTGGTACTCAATGGTATGTTTACTTTTTACCTGTGTTTTTCCTTGGATCCTATTTTATACTTCTATGTATTTATTTTTTAAGTTTACTGGGCCTGCTTTTTAGAATTGTTCAAGTTCCTTGTTCAATAAAGTGATGGGGTAAGTAAATATAAATGTCACAAATTAAAAAAAGGGATCAAGTTGGGGAATAAAATGACTCCATGACATTCCCATGGAATTACTCCCTCACTGCTCAAATCAATGTGCTGGAGTTTCCCTCTTGGGAATCAAGCCTGGAGCTCTTTTTTCATTTCTGATTGAATGTGATTTGGGGAAAATTAGCTGGAAGCTCTACCCCAGGGAGAGGTCACTGCTAATAAAATTCTGAAGAATTTGCAAACTCATCATTTTCACCATAATCGCAACGCGTTAGTTAGAGTTTTATGTACTAAAGTCTTCCTGTTTAGATAAACAAGAGAAGAAATAGTTTGAAAGCATAGAGCATTTTGCTCCCCTCCATTATGCATGAGAAATTTGTTTATTTCATCTATAAGTGAAATTAGCAGGGAGAGAATCTTAGCCATTCCTGATGGTGAAACTTCCAAGGGGTGAAAAATTTTTAGATATTGGAATGGGTACTATTATTTATATGGCTCAAAATTTAAAAAGTACAAAATTATATCTAGTGAAAAGTTTCTCTTCAAACCTTGTCTGCCAGCTGTCCAGCTCCTTTCCCCAGAAGGAACCAATCTTATCAATTTCTGAGATCTCTTTTCAGAGATATTTTATGCGTATACAAACAAATATATGTATATATGTATACATACAAGTTTATATAATTTCCCCCTTTTTAATAGAAAGGGTAGCATACTATCAGATAATTGTTTTGTATTTAAAAAAAATTGTGCACACAATCTATCTTGGAGATCATAAAAGTATAAAGACCTTTCTCATTCTTTTCTTTCTTTCTTTCTTTCTTTTGAGGAAGATTAGCCCTGAGCTAACATCTGCTGCCAATTGTCCTCTTTTTGCTGAGGAAGACTGGCCCCGAGCTAACATCCATGCCCATCTTCCTCTGCTTTATACGTGGGACGCCTACCACAGCATGGCTTGACAAGCAGTGCCATGTCCACACCCGGGATCCGAACTGGCGAACCCCGGGCTGCCGAAGCAGAACGTGCAAACTTAACCACTGCGCCCCTGGGCCGGCCCCTCATTCCTTTTTTTAAGACTCCATGGGATGTCATTTTATGACTTTTTCATAATTTACTAGTCCTTTGTTAATGAACATTTATACTTTTTTCAATCTTTTGTTATTATACACTATGCTGAAATGGACAAACTTATATACACCTCTCTTTTCTCATGTATGTTGTAAGATAAATTCTTCTCTGTAGACTTACTGGCTCATTTATGCTTTTGTTTGGTATTGTGAATTGACCTCGATGGAAGCCATCCTGTTTTTTTTTCTTCTTTTAAGGAAGATTAGCCCTGAGCTAACAGCTGCTGCCAATCCTCCTCTTTTTGCTGAGGAAGACTGGCCCTGAGCTAACATCCATGCTCATCTTCCTCTACTTTATATGTGGGGTGCCTACCACAGCATGGCCTGATAAGCAGTGCCATGTCCGAACCTGGGATCCAAACCAGCAAATCCCAGGCCACTGAAGCGGAAAGTGGGAACTTAACCACTGCGCCACCGGATTGGCCTGATGGAGGTGATTCTAACTTGCATTGCCACCGCCTGTTTCTTCACACTTTTGCCAACACACAGTGGCTTTCAAACTTGCTAATCTTTGCCAATCTGAGTGAAAAGATGGTTTCTTAATGCAGTTTTAACTTGCTTTTTTCTAATGGAGAAGAAAAATATGCTAGCTTATTTTTAGGACAAAGGGCCACAAAGTTATGTGGAGTCGTTACTGACCCTTAAATTGTTCCTGGAGTCTGCAGCAGGTTGACATTAGAGTTCAGAGATCAAGAACATGGCAACGTGCCCAGAACTGAGACGGAAAGAAAAGTCAGCAGGTCCCATTTCAAACATATTTGCCTTGACAGAGTCCCTGTTGATGTCCCTAGAAGGTAGGTTCTGTTTTCATGTGGATGCAATCGGAAGCTAAGTTTCAAATTCCCCAATGGCCACAAAAGTAGCTTCTAATTACTTAGGAGAAGGTGTGCATCTTTTCCCTTCCAATCCATCCCATAGAAAAATGAAGTAAAACAGGTTCTGTATTTATAGATATAACTAAGCCACACAATAGAATTTGGGTTGGACCGAATCATCTGGGTCACATGAGGGTTGTAAAGATCAAATGATACGTTTGAGGCTAAAAGTGTTCGGCTTAGGGAGAAGGCCTGTCGCTAATTAGCATAACTGCCTCATGCCTTGCAGGAACGACCTGAAGGGTTTGTTTCTGTTTTTTGTTTTTGGTGCTTTCCCAGAAGGGAGAATCACTCAATCCTATTTAATGCTGTATCTCTTTAAAAAAAAAATCATAGGCCTTTTCCTAAACTCATTGATGTCTTTACAACAGGGACTTCAAAAGCCAGTGAGACTTGATATCACGTGATGGAATAAAAAGAGAGGATTAGAAATTAGGCCTGCTGGATTTGCATTTGCCCCTCACTAGCTGTGTGACTTTAAGAAAGTCACTGGACCTTTCTGAGCTTCATTTCCTCATCTGAAAAATGGAGATAATCATCTGACCTATATACCCCTGGGTCTTGAGGCAATAATCGAACGTTGTACAGGTGAAAGGGCTTTAACTGTAAATGGCGATACATCTGTTAGTTGAGCTAATATGATGATATAGAAAACTTTGTCAGATACAGTATCCTCAGATTAATTCTCAGAAAAAGCTTACTTCTCTTAAAAAGCTCGTAGCAAATCCAAACCAGGTAATTAAATTTTTAAAAACAATTTTGGACTCAGGTTGTCTGACACTTAATGGTTCAGTAACGTTACACCTCTCATAGGTGGAATAACATCTTTGGAAAAGCTTTGTATTAAAAATATGCTTATAGAAGAAAATATTTTATGGGCCTAATAGCTATGGATGCAATTTGCTTAGTTTAGCAAAGAGAATGGACTTAATTTGTGTTAGAGAAAAGGGGGCAGACCTCGTTTTCTCTCTCTTCCTACTTTTTCTTCGAAGATGGAACAGCTGGAGCTCATTTCTTTAACCTTTAATAGGTGTTTGGTAGTAAACGTCCCAGAAGGAGGAAGATAATGCACACCGGCAGTCGGACACTCTGAAGTGACAATCACTGCTGCTTCTTTGTAAACCTCCGCCCTGATCCTTCTGCCACCTTCCCACTCCCGGCCCGCCCTCGCCGCAGTGCCCCACTGCTAGCGGGAAGTCAGAGAGAGCCCACGGGCCACACAGGTGGCAAGAGGGGAGGAGGCGGCAGATCCTCTCGGCAGCCCGGCCCGGCTTGGGGCCCCAGCCCTGGGCGCCGCAGAGCTCGGGTCACCTGCATTCTGGGCCGCGTGCTCAGCCAGGTGCGCAGGCAGCAGCCCGGGGCGCCACGTTGCACGTGGCAACAGGTGCCGCGCGATGCTGGGCAGCCGCGGGCGTGGGGCGCGCCGGCACTTAGCCCGGGAGCGCGCGGGACCTCGGGATCGGGCCCCGGGAGCGCGAGAGGAGGGAGCGAGCGGGCAGCCCAGCCCAGCCCGCCCACCTGCCGAGCGGAGCCGGGCGGAGCGCGCGGGAGCCTCGGGGGCCGGCGTCCCGAGGTACGGCCCGGCGCGTCGGTCAAGTTTCTCGGGGTGCAGCGCCCTGCGACGCCGCCTGGCCTTTGTCTCCCACGGTGACGGGGGGACAGAGGCGGCCGCGCTCTGCTATTTACAAGTTTCCCGAACTCCCCGCCCTGGCTCCACCCCCGGCGGCCGGGGAGGCGGGGAGGCTGGGCTCCCGGACTCGGGGTTCCCGCCTGGCACAGCAGCCGCCGCCGGCGTGCGGGCGGGGGTGGGACGAGTGCCCAGGTGCAGGCGCTCCCCCGCGGGCACGGGTTGCACCGCGGCCTCCCGGGTGGGCCTGGCGCGCCGCCGCCGGGGGTCCCCAGGGCGCGCCGCCCTGCGTCTCGGCGCCCCGGAGGGCTGGGCTGGCCCGGTGGCGCTGCGGGTAAGTGCGGAGTGGAGTCGATTCCCGCTGCTCAGCTCGTCCGCGGAGGGGGGAGAAAGAACACGGTGAACGCGACCGTCCTGGGGGGACGGGACTGGCTTTAGGGAGGGGCGGGTATTCTAGGGGCTCGGGTGCCCAGGTTGGGGGAGAAGTGGGGAGGCAGTCCCAGAGGAGCGGAGCCTGCGGGGAGCAGGTCTCACGTGGGGTCGGCGCAGCTCGTGCGACAGGGACGGATGCGGATCGCGTAGCTGTCACCTTGAAAGTGACCGAGAGGGTTGCAGTGGACTCAGTTACGCGGACTGGCAAGCATGTCCACTCATCCGGAAGCCGCCCACCAGACACTTGACCCGCCAGGGCCCTGAAGTCCCAGCCTTCTCGCCGGGGGGTTCTCTTGGGCCCATTCTCGGCAGAAGGACTCAGGGCTGAAAATGTGGCATTAATGGGGTTGCTGCAATTCCCAAGGCCCTCTCGTCCCGTGCCTTATTACTTCCTGCGGTTCGCTGGTGCTTTGCTAGCTCTCGAGAAAAATCCACCCCTAACTAAGGTCACCTGATTGACTGTTCTATCGTAATTAGTGGACTTAAGTGTTTACTTACCTTAAATCTTTTGTCCTCCTGTTTTCAAGACGTGCTCTTTTCTAGTTATTTGTTCATTTTGACTTGGAGTAATTTATTTTGGAGTGAGAATGGAGAGATTAATTCTTCATTTAGCTTGCGTAAAGTTCCACATACTCTATTACCTACTATTTATTTTAAGTAGTTGGTGGCTAAAAAAAGGAAATCCAGTGTGTTTTGCTTTGTTTGTTTGAATAAAATCAAAGTGTTAGGCAAAACAGGGTGGATGAAAGCCTTCATGTTTAGCCAAGTGACAGGAATTCAGTCATCGTCACACTAAACGCTTAGCCGTGGGCGTGGAGGGTGGGTGTGGAGGTCTTAGGAGTGGAGGCAGGGAGAAAGGGGAATAAAAAGAAGAAATGAGAGTCCGTGCTTCCTAGGAACCTATGACCTGCTTATGGAGTTTAGATACACCCAGATAACAGTGTTTGGTTAACCCTAAGAGGAATGGCATAGTTGGAATTGCAATTCTGTAGACACACTGCTTTTTCAGGGATAATTAGGGCAAGAAATGATGGGCTAGTTAAATTGAAGCAATGATACCCTGTTTTATAGTGCTTTACAATGTATAAAGTGCTTTTATCGATTTTTTTCCTTAAGTACAATATTCCATAAGGAAAGTTATACAGAGAAATGATTTAGAAATGATTTATTTATCCTTAAAAAAACACAAAAACTTAGGAGTAGAATTTAGTTTAGAATAATATTTGACTCCCACCAACTTTTCCACCTATTTTTAAAATCAGCATGATGTGGAACAAACAGTGCTTGTAGATCAGCACCTTTTAATTGTATATCAGTAATTCAAGGTTATGGTTTTGGAGTATTTCATAGGATTATAAAGTTCTAGCTAGATTTCTTTTGGTATTTCTTGGAAACGAAACTTTAGTTGTTAGACTTAAGCATTTAAAAAGCATGTCACTTGATAGCCCTGTTCTGTTGGCCTTGTTTGTTACCACTTCAAAAGTAATGCATGCTTGCTATATAAAAATTGTTAGACTCAGAAAAAGTATGAGTTAATCCCACCATCCAAAGATAATCATGAGTATTTTCTTTATACTTGTTAATATATGACATTAATAGACTTTTTAGTTATGTAGTTTATACAAATATACTGTTGCATGCTGATTTTTTTTCTGCTTAACATATGAGAAAGTTCCCATGTCATTATAGTTCTTCAAGAATCTTACTTTAGTGGCTACATAATATTACATTATATAGCTGTAACAATTTTAACTATTTTCTTATAGTTGAACTTTTATTTTGAATGACTATTATTACTATATACTTATGCAACAAATATCCTTTATAAAACCTTATCTACAGGGCATATTTCCTTAGGTTAGAGTCCTTGCAATAAAATTGATGGTTCTAAGATCTCTCCTGTTTTTTTTTTCCCTCCCGAAAGCCTCAGTGCATGGTTATATATTCTAGTTGTAAGTCCTTCTAGTTCTTCTATGTGAGCTGCTGCCACAGCATGGCTACTGAAACACGGGTGGGATGGTTCCGCTACTGGAAAATGAACCCCAGGCCGCTGAACCGTGGTAGCCGTGAACTTTAATCCTTAGGCCATCAAGGCTGGGTCTAAGATCTTTTGATACAGATGGACCATTTGCTTTCCAAAAAATGTTTTACCAAAGTATGCTGCCATCAGCACTCAGAGTACCTGTGTTAACTATGTTCTTGTTAATACGGGGAATCATCCTTAAAAGCAAAAATGATTCTTGCCAGCCTTATAGGTGAACAGTGCTATCTCATTATATAAATTTCCACTTCTTTGATTACAGATGACGTTGAACAGCAAAAAAATCTAGTTATTTTCCATTTTGATGCCCTTTTAATTGAATATTGTGCCCAGTTTTTCTCTCAGGATGTTAGTATCTTTCTATTAATTCATAAGAGTCTTTTATGGATTGATAGTAAACCTTTGCCCTTCATATTGGAGATATTTTTTCACATTTTATCTTTTCCTTGTAGAGACAAACACTTAGCTTATTTATAGTGGTTTTGACATAAAGTTCTCTAATGTAGTCAAATCTGTTGACTTTCTCAAACAAAATTTTTAACACTTATAAATCATAGCTTAAGAAGTATATGTGACAATGGCAGAAGATGACTTTTAAAAGAATTTCTCCCCAAATTCTGAATTAAATTATTTTCAAATCCATTCTAAGAAGCTTGTGCAGTAGAGACTGTTGCCGAACAGATTGTAGTGTTGGTGAGACATAGTTGTGGGTGGTGTAGACCATTAGGAACAACATTCTTTGAAATCAGAGCAGAAAGTTGTAAATCCTGGGGAATGAACGTCTTTTAGGTCTGTTCTGTGATTATGTAAACCAGGCTCACAATCCACTCATTTTCAGTTGTTCATTTGTAGTATTATTTTGGCAGAATTCTTTTTATATTCATTATGGTAGTTTCATACTGAATTCTTGATATGAGTCTTACCTTGATGTCTAGTCAGATGTATATGTAGTTTCAAATTTTTCCCAAATTAATTTCCAACGCTACTCATAGATTAAACTATTTATTTGAAGAGGGGGAAAAAGCCTTCCTGATTTCTCAAACTTGAGTTATCTTTCCATACTATGGAAGCTTTAATATGCCCTAAGGATTTTTTTCTTTTCTTTTCTTTTTTTGCTGAGGAAGATTAGCCCTGAGCTAACATCTGCTGCCAGTCTTCCTCTTTTTGCTCTTTTTTTTTTTTTTTTTTTTTTTTTTTGTATGTGAGCCACCACCACAGCATGGCCACTGAGAGATGAGTGGAGTAAGTCTGTTCCTGGGCACTGAACCCTGGCCGCTGAAGCGGAGCATACCGAACTTAACCCCTAGGCCACCAGGGCTGGCCCAGCCCCTGAGAACTTTTAAAGGCCTCACTGAGAGTGTTCTCCATCAGAGCCTGAGTTGTTGTTGTTTTTTTTTTTAACTCTCTATGTTTTAGACCTAAGAATACGTCACAGGACCATATATGAGCCATGAGGATGAGGTTGGTGTGTGGTGTGTATGTTTGGGGGTACTCAGAAACAGGTCCAGACTTTCTTTTGAGTCTGGTGGGCCTATGAGGAGGTGACCACTCCCGCTTAACTGGTGGGTCCTTGGGCACTGGTGGCTGGTGGCCTCCATCGGAGGTGAAACAGAGTGACTGAGGATGAGTGAGGCCCCTCCCTTTGTTGTTTTTTTAAGAGAAGGGATTGGATGTATGATACCTTAGCCAGGCTGAAATTCAGTTCAGAAAAGCCTGCTTTGACAGGGTTCTCCACACTTGGCTTAAGACAGTCGAGGATAGCCAGGAACTGAGTTTGACTGACAGCTACTTCTAAAGTGTATTTCTAAGCCAAGTTTTATAACAGAATTCCCTAATAATAGTTATTTTTTTAAAAAAAAATTACCTCAATATTATTCAATATCAGGAGTTATTACTCTTGCATATGGGCATCCATGATATTAATGCATAACTTTTGTTCATTTGGCTCAAGATGAAAAAAACCTTTCCATTTTGAAGATGACAGGTTTGGGGGCTCATCTTTACTATGTAGATCTACCTATACAATAAAACTTCGTTTTCGTACACTGTAAGCTAATTTGCAATTTGCGATTGCCCCGATGTCTAATTTTTACACAATCAAGAAAGGTTTTGTTCCACAAGTTTTAGCCTGTAAACAAGGTTGAACCTAGCGGTGTCTGTCTTAAGTAAATAGCTTTTAAGCACTTCAGAAGTAGATATTTTCATATAAATCTTTGCTTCCAAAACAGCCTTATTTGTTCATTAAAGCTAGTTGGTTTTCCTTAGCATTCAGTTTAAGCCCCATATTGAAGAGAGATAAAAGAGTATTTATTTGAAGATAAACTGTATTTAAGTTTTGCTAATAGGCCCATATCTAAATTAATGAATGTTCTTGTGTATACATTACTTACATGAGTAAAAGTAAAATCACACATCCTACCTTTTTCTAACCCAGAAGTTTTCATTTTGCAGTTGTAAAACTAAGATAGTTTTGAAGTCACTTAAAGTTTGTCTTGAGGAAACCTGTTTACTTTTTTAGTAGAGTTGAATAGATCATTTTTCAGCATTGGAGGAAGATTAATTGCAGGTCGTAAGTTTCTTAACCTAGCTGGAGAGGGCAAGGCGGTCGCAAGGAAGTTACTTCCAGGTCATGTAATTTTGCCTGAAATTGTCCTGATTCCATGTTTCTGGAAGAGTTGTGTTGAGCAGACGGGCAGGCCTGGCCAGCCTCCCACTGTGTGCACACAGCAAAAGGAAGAGCAGAGACTGGGAGGTAAACAGACTGAGAACACGTCAGTCTTCTAGGTAAGCTGCCAGGGGAAGAGGATTTTAAAGTCATTAAATTAGCTTATCGTCGTTCTTTTAAATACTTTAAATATTTG